GTGGAACCTACCTAGATGCCCTTCAGTAGATGAATGGATAAAGGAACTGTGTGGTATAATATATACAATGGAATATTACTCAGCATTAAAAGAGAATAAAATCATGATATTTGCAGGTAAATGGATGGAGTTGGAGAATATTATGCCAAGTGAAGTTAGCCAATCCCCAAAAACCAAAGGCCAAATGTTTTCTCTGATATGAAGATGCTGATCCATAATGGGGATGGGGTGGGGAGCATGGAAGGAGTGGAGGGGCAGGAAGAGAGAGGGGAAGGAAGGGGGCGTGGGGTAGGAAAGATGGTGGAATGAGATGGACATCATTACCCCAAGTACATGTATGAAGACATGAATGGTGTTTCTCTACTTTGTGTAAACCAGAGACATGAAAACTTGGGTTCTATATGTGTATTACGAATTGAATCACATTCTGCTGTCACGTATAACAAGTTAGAATAAATACATATAATTAAAAAAACAAATGGTCATCCACTACTCCATCCAGCTTTGAGGCTTTGGGTGAAGAAATCCCTTAAACTGCCGTTCCTCATATGTCATGGGTAGTGGTCTCACATGGGAGGGAGGAGCTGGGCAGGGGGCAGAGCAGACAGGCTTCTTCAGTTTTTGATTCCTTCCTGAAATGGAGAGGTGTCAAGAAGATGTTCACTGGCTACTCCACGAAGCACCCACTGGGCAGGATAGACACAGGGCCTCACTGCAAGTGTGGGTACCTGTTGGCAGGCGGTGTCCACACACTGGCAACCAGTGTGCACTCTAGCAGGCTGCAGAGCATCAGCAGTTACCAACCTGGGGAGCCAGAGGACCTGGAGTGGAACAGACTTAACAGCTGAGATGTCCAGAAAAAAATCCTTCTCCAGTTGTCTCCAGGGCTGGGCCTAGCTGTGGGTAAACACCTCTGCCTTCCTGGAGCTGTTGTCCAGGGAGAGTGGTCAGCGGTCCCACATCAACAGAGCCCCGTGGGCTCACAGGTCACAAGAGGCACAGCATGGCCACCAGGTGGCTGGAGTCACAACTGTAGGGATCGAGTTCTCAGGTGGGCACACAAAGGGAGACCTTGAAGGGCCAGCAGTACTGAAGAGATGAACCCCACGTCCCCAGCTGGCCTCTGGCAGGCTTTCCCCATCCACACGAGTCCCCCAGCCAAATCCAAGACCGATGTCTATCGCACGTGAGGCCCTTGGAGCAACCTCAAACCTGCCAGTCTGGGCAGGAGCTTCAGCCTTCAAATCCTCACCTGGCTCTGTCTGCCACACGTGGGGTGGGGACCCTCTGAGTCCACCCTGTGTGAGCTCCCAGCATGCAGAAGAGCTCCTGGCACCTGCAGACCAGCCTGGGCCCAGCTGGAGGCTCAGGTCTTAGAAGGAGCTCAGGTGCAGATCTGCAGCTGAGTCGGGGATGGTCTGCCCAGTGCTGCCCACTCAGGCTGCCCCAGAGCCGTGGGCCCTCCAGCAGGGTAGACTCCATACCTCGGTGCTGAACGTCAAACCACCAGACTGTGAGCAATCCCATGTGGCACTTGGGGACAGCAGTAGACCCAGGCAACTTCAAGTGACGAGCCACAAGTTGTAGTCACAAACTGCTCTCCCCTCTCTGTCCTCCTCCCATCCCCGCTCACTGTCAGCCCAGCAAGTTTTTTAAGGATTCTCCATATTGCTTTCCTTATTGGCACATTCCTCAGAATTCTTCTTAGCAGGTGGGGAAGCGGGAAGACATGCATGTCCCCAAAGGTTCCTGTGGACATCTGGCTTGCCTGCCCCCATCCTCACCAGGCACCAAGTGTAGGATCCTCACCCTAAAACCAAGCCCTTGGGGGCTGCCTTCTCTCCTCATTCTCAGCTCAGTAGCTGATGGAAGCAGAGAGAAACTGGACAGTTGCTGCAATAGGATTTGAGCTATGAAGTGTGATGAAAAGGACCTGATGGCAATCAGCTGAGTCCAATGACCTGTGTGGCTCTTCACTTGAAGTTGCCTGGGTCTACTGCTGCCCCGTCAGTAGCAACCTGGGCTGTGCTAACAGAGTCCAAAGCCAAGGAGTGGGTTTTCCTGGTGTGCTCTGTCTTGATCAGACATACATCAAATAGGTGTTCTGTGGTAGACCCTGACTGTCACAAGGGACACTGAGAAATAGGTCCTCATCCAGAGAAGGGGAGCTCCTATGAAGCTGTGCTGGAGGACTGGGGATGTCTGGGCAGAAGCAAAGGCCTGGAGAGATCACTGGTGCCTTCATTGCCTGTAACACACGTGACTTGGAGTGTGATGACTCAGGGACAGTTTGCTAACTGTAACAGCTATAGTCAGCCCCCTGTATCCACGGGTTCTGCATCTGTGGATTAAAACAAGCAGGGATCAAAGATATTTTAAAAACTGTGCCTATACTGAATACATGCAGATGTTTTTCTTGTCATTATCCCTAAACAAAATAGTTTAACTACTGTTTACATTGTGGTAGGTATTATAAGTTGAAATGGTATTTGGGAGGATGCAAGCAGATTGTATGCAAATACAACACCATTTTACATAGGGATATCCACAGATTTTTGGTATCAGAGAGGGGTCTGGGAACAAATCCCCCATGCGTACTGAGGAACAACTGCACCCAATAATGGATCAATTTTCCTGTTGAGACAGGAAGTCTTCCAGCCCAGCTTGGCCCACCTGTTGGTCATGTCTTGGCAGAAAGTCCTGTTGGGGTTGGATCTGGACATAATGGTTCTGGGGCGAGCTCCTCTTGCTTCTGCCAGGCCCATGCTTCTGTTGAGAAGGCCTCGAAATGGCCTGGGGAAGCATCTATGCCCCCATCCTCCTGTATGATTCCCATGGGGCTAACCTGCCCATTTCCGTGTGGTCCAGAACAGGCCCCTCAAGGTTAGGCATCCCTTGCACAGTGACTGGTCGCCAGCTGACAGGATTGGGCCTGGAGATGCTTGGAGGGCTGTATGGGGACAGCCCACCTGAGCAGAAGCCAGCATGAGGACAGAGTCAGAGGGGAGAGCAGGAGTCCAGCAGCTGAGGTAGCAGCACAAGTCCTTGGCCTGCCAGGCTCCACTCCAGCACACATGAACCCTTGCTTCACCAAAGACAGGCATTCCCCCAGTATGGCCTGTCAGAGTTGGCTTTCTGTCACTTACAACTCAGAGTCAAAGCCACAGATCTGTCCGGCTCTACCTCTGACTCATTCCCAGAGTGGGCACCAGGAGGTTGTGTAAGGCCCGAGTTGGATGTCCCCATGTGCCACATGGGATTTCCCATCCAGTGAGACGACTGTGACCCCAGGGTACAGATGGCACATGAAGATGCTTTCCATGGCCCACAATCCCGCTGATTGCTGCCTGTCCTCCTCCCATCCCCGCTCACTGTCAGCCCAGCAAGCACAGATGAACATCTCCAGTTCCTGACCAACCACTGTGGCCAGGCTTGGGGCGGGGGGCGGAACCTGGGGGCTGAAACCACTGGGCCTGTACTTGAGCTGAAGATTGGTCAGTCCCATGCAATCGCAGGGCAGAGAACTAGGGGGCAGAGAACTTTCCAGAAGGAAATCTGGACATCCCTGAAAGTGTGGGGACTGGCTATTGTCAGGAAAAGGATGTCCTTACACCAGGCACCCTGACACCACCACCCTCACCCTGGTCACATGCAAATTCCCTCCTCATCTGCTATTGGGGTCTTCTCTTATGTTCTTCTTGCCCCTGGAGCAGGTGGTGGCCCAGTCTGCAACGAGGAGGAACTTTCTCTTTCTCTGTGTGTGCAAATCCTCTTTTCAGAACATTCTGATTTGTCGGTCTCCCGTTCAGCATATTTAGGGCACCCTGGGACTGACAGCAGATAGTGGCATGTAGAAACGCAGGTTTCCTCCTTTAGCCAATACAAAACAGAGGTAGTGTCCAGACACCTTGAAGGGAACCAGCCTAGCAAAAGCGGGTCCTCTCCTCTTTGCTCTTCCCTCCATTCTAAGGGGAGAATCTGGACAGGTGGGGGACCTGTGGGTGCGTCACCCACCTGCCTGTCTGCCTCCTCCCTAGGTGAGGAGAAAGCTCTGCTCCCAGAGGTGTGATGTGGCCGGTGGCCCAGGTGTGCTGGAGGTGAGAGGAAACATTCCTGGTTTTTGTCCCAACATGCAAACAACTGAACAAAAGCATAGCTGTCTGAGATCGGGGCTGAAGAATGCTTTGTTGTCTTGGTTATCAGGAAACGGCCACGCTTCCAGATAATAACGGCTTGAGCGGATGCCAGACTATCTAATACTCCAGTAGGGGACCAGATGAGGGGGGGGGGGATCGAGTGTCATTCCTTATACAGGACCACGGACACAGCTGTGGAACTTAAGGAAAACACCACGGTCTGCAAAGTGAACCTTCCCTTTATTCAGGGAGTGGGGCGCAGACAGAGGCCTGCGCACCTTCACCTGGCAACCAGTAGTCAGCGTTAGCACTGCGCTTGCGCACAGCAGCCTTGCAGTAAGAGCATGTGCTGCCTCGTGTGGGGGTCGCCCCACTTTGGAGCTGTGGCTGGGGGAGGGGCGTCGGAGCAGTCGTCTCTTCTTCCTTAGGCTTCTCTACCTGGCAGCGAGGTGCCCAACAACGACAGAATAAAAAAAGAAGCCATCCGCTCTTCACCCTCGCTCCCCTAACACCCCCTCCTGCGGCGTCCACACAACCGCCCCCAGGTTTGAAGGCAGCGGTTTTCTGAGCTCCAGACCCCGCAGTTGGGCGTCCCCCGCGGGCTTGACCCGGCCGTGCTGGCCCAACCCTTCGGACCTCAGAGAGCCAGACAGGCGCAGGTCTACAGCGTCCGCCGGCCCACAGGTGCACAGTCGGGCAGGCGGCTTGGGGACCCGCAACAGGCCGGCCGCCCCCCGCAGGAGCAAAACAAGAGCACGCGCACCTGCCGGCCGCCCGCCCCCTCGGCGCCGGCCAATCACGGGGCGGGGCGGGGCGGGGCCGGCGCGCCGGGCCCGACCCAGGCTATAGCTCAGCCAGAGGCCGCGCAGGGCGCAGCGGCAGAGCCAGGAGCCAGCGCAGCCTCGTCTCCGCAGCCTCGTCCCCGCCGCCGCCGCCCCCGGGGCATGGCCTGTCTGATGGCCGCTTTCTCGGTCGGCACAGCCATGGTGAGTGAGCGCATCTTTTGCGGCCGGGCTTGGTGTTATTTTCAAGGAGCGCAGAAAACACACAGAGACCCTCACGCTCGCCTTACACCGCCTCCCTGGGAGCGCGCCCGCTCTGGCCGCTGACCCAGAGCCCTCTTTCCGCGTGAGAGGTGCCTGACTCCGAGAGGCCCCCCGCCCTGGCCACCTGGCGCCTCGGGATGCTACTTGCACCCGCCGAGGATGCCGCGAAGGCGGAGGGGGCAGGACTGGGGCACTGGGCAGCGAGCAGCCCCACAAGTGCACGGAGGGCTTTGGCCTCGTCTGCCTCCAGGTGAGGGGCGCGAAGCCTTGGCGACCCAGAGCGCACTGGAGAGGGGCTGTAGCGTGGGCCTGAGGGAAGGGAGTGTCCGATCTCTGCTGGCGCTCACGGCAGTGGGCTTGGAGAGCAGGGGCTTCGGGAGCCACCTTCCGGAACTCCGGCACAGTCTGGAGGAACAAAAAGAGGACAGGCTTCCAGAGAGGAGCTGCGCTGCCTCTGCTCTCCTTGGGGACAGCTCCTTGCAGAGGGGGCGGCGGAGTCCCCGGGGAGACGGGTGGGGGGCGAGCCTGGATCCCTGCCGACTGCCTTCCTGCGCGCTGGGGAGACCCGGGTGGGGCAGAGGCGCGCATCTCTCTTCTCCCGAGGGAACCGGCTCCAAGGGGATGACAGAGTGCTGGCTAGACAGTTACAGCAAGTGCTGTTTCCATGCGTGGTCAACCATCTCCCCTTGCGTGTTTGCTCACGAGAAAACAAACAAGCTAACCACAGCCCACCCACCCACCTCGCCTCGTTCTAAGACCTTTCACTTACTTCTGTGCCTAGCACACCGACATTGCAGTTGGGTACCAATGGCCAGATTTCAGGCCATCTAGAGTACAAATAGCAAGTCCTCCGTATTCCAACTGGGATTATCCCGTTTGCCACCATCTCTCTGTGTATTACTATCCTGCCGGCTCCTTCCCATAGGCTGTAAGCGCACGGTGCCCAGCGTGCGCGAGTCCCCCTCCCCTCTCCTTTATTTCATTTTTAGCATCCTGTATTTGAAGTCAGCAGAGCTCAGCAGGATTTGACCGACAGTTACCTCTTGCCTTGAGCTTAAGAGAAAAAAAAGGTAGCAGGCTTTGTGCGCATGCTCTGCTCTGACAACTGCATCCTGTGATTCCAAACAGGTTACTGTAGAACATGCCGCGCGCCAGCTCATTATATAATGATTTTGTGTATACGGATAGAATGGGGGAAGTCGTCATATTAAGGAAGTTGGTGATGGGGTGGAGGTGGCTGTCCGGAGACCCTCAGGCTAGCGCCCCCCCCCCCCGCCCCCGCGAGTGCTCTGCCTTTGACTTGCTGGACATGAAAGGCAGTGGAAAAGAGCTGGGCGAATGGGCCAATCCAGTCCCCTCCTCAAGACATTTACTTTTATCTAGTTGAATTTTGGAGTAATACCTGAAAATTCTCCCTTTTGTGCTTGTTTGTTTACTTGGAATCCCTAAATTACTAATTTTCCCAGTGTAATGGAAAATTAAAGCTGTTGATGCCCATTACAGGTGAAGGAAGTTTCTGATCTTTTAAGTGATGCATAATTCTTCAAGTTGTTTTAGAGCTGCAGAGGTGGCTTGTTCGTGGGAAAAATGAATCGGAATGCTTTAATATATAGATTTTATATAGTAATTTGTTAAATGCTGTGTTACAATTTGATTCAGCCCCAGAGTTCACATGATGTTTTCTCATAGGTAGATGCTAATGGCTGGGCTTATTTTTTCAGATAACCCTGTTTTGTTTGAAAATCATTTTCCTCTCTGAAAACTGGTACTTTTAAAAACAAATTCTGTCTGTCAGCAGCCATATCCCCAAATGCACCGGTCTTGCCACAGCTGCCTGGAGACCCTCATGGGCCAGTACTCAGGCCTCTCCATGGGCTCAGTACTCAGGTTGACCTCCCCAGCGACTCTCCTTAGCACTCAGGAAAACATTCTCACCAGGGGCAGCCAGGAGCCACCCAAACAGGGTCTCCCCAGCCCCTCGACCTGCAGGAATGAACTCAGACTCTTTACCATGTGTTACACAGCATGGTGGGTGAGAGTGGAGGCCTAGCAGGACAGAGCCACAGAACAGGAAGAGGGACATGGGAGGGAATAGGTGTTTGTTTTATTTTTAATGAGCTCAGGAGGCTGAGGAAAAGCTGTAACCTACATTGCTGGCAACTCTCATCTGAGGATGTTTCCAGAGAGCTGGTCTATTTTGGAGTGACAGGCCACTGCCTCCCATTACACAGGTGTCCATGATTTTATAAATTGGGTGAGTCTGCCGGACATCCGTGGAGGAAGGGTGGGAGCGGTGCATGGCTGGGATGTGATGGGGAGGGACTGTGGGCCTTCCTCAGCCTGCAGTGGATTCTCCTGTAGCAGATGACCCTGCAGCACCCACAAGTTGTGGCTGTGGAGAGATAAGCAGGGCTTGAGCCTTGTCAAGGTGGCTGGGTGGGAGCCTTTGGAGCTGGACCCCCGCAGGGCCACTTCCTAACTGAAGAGTTGTGACCAGGCCGACCATGCCTGTGCTGCCCACACTGGAGCAGTTACCCCTCCCCCACTGTTAGAGCTGCTGCGGAGATGATAAGAGGTGTGATCATGGCTGAAGTTTAACAGGCATGTTGTAACTGCGGAGTCAACACCACCTTGTTGACAGTGGCTTACCTAGTGTGTGTGAAGTGTCACTCTTCAATACTTCTCTCCCACTCCCACGTCAGACTAGTCACACCGCTTTGCTCTGCTGGCCTGTCCACTTGTCTCCAGCCCGGTCACCACCCTCTGGTTAAGGGCAGCCCACCCCATCTCAGTTCCACAGCACTGGAGGGGACTGTGCCGAATCCTGCGGTTCCCATCCTGTTACTGCCCAGCTTGGGATCCCTCTGTGGCTCCCCATCAACCTCCAGACAAAGTTCATGTGTTCGCAAGCCCTTCACCATGGGGACCCTGTTTGCCCCTCTGGTCTCATCTTACACTGAAGCCCCCACCTGCTGCTCTCCCCACCATGAGAGCCCATCTCCAGTCCCTGCGTTTCCTGCAGGTCTCTGAGTGTTCCACTTTATATGCTGTTGGCCTGCAGGAGCATGGTGCTCCAGCACCTGCCCCCTCACCTGCTGACCTCAGCTGAGACTGTATTTCTTTTTTTTTTTTTTTAAATATCTTTATTTTGTTTCTTTATTTTTATGCAGAGCTGAGGATTGAACCCAGCGCCTCGTACATGCTAGGCGAGTGCTCTACCACTGAGCCACAACCCCAGCCCTGAGACTGTATTTCTGCAGGAAGACTTTACCCTGAGCCCTGCCCCCACCCCAGAGTCTCCTGTGCCCCCTCTGAGTCTCCGGTGGCTTTTGTCCCACCCTATTGTGATTGTCTATTTTCTTATCTGGGACCAAGTCTTGAACTTGGGCTCATTGAGGCCAGAGGCCATGTCTGTAGAACTGGCTTCATCTGGTGTGCAGTTTGTTAAATGAATGAACAAGTGAGTGAGTGACCAGATGGGCTTGGGCTCTACTGGAAAATCTAGACTCTCTTCACAGCCCACAGCTGCTGTCTGATGTCTGCTATGACTGAGGGATGGAAGGGACAGTGGTGGCTTCCCCCTGTGTTCCTAGGAGTTTCCTCAACAAGAAGCCACCCACCTGAGCTTCTTAAGGAGTTGGATCTCCCTGTGGTGGGTGCCTGTGGAGAGGGATCCACAATCCACTGCAGCTGGCATCCAAGGGGTAGAGGTCAAGAGGGCTCTCAAGTGGAGAGGGCACCAGAGCACTCCACCCACCCTAGCACCCGCCCTGGAGGTCCTGGGAGGGAGCCCAGCCGGCAGCGGGTATGGGCGTGGGACCAGCACTCTTGGCTTCCATTTGTATTGCAAGCAGGGATTGGGGTAGCCTCTGGGACCAGGCCAGAGCTACCTGTTGCCCACTGCTCCTCAACATCCCTGCCCCCAAAGCCACGACCTGGTGCTTCCCAGACTCTTTGGAGTCCACATGAGTGACACTAGGGGCAGCAGAAGAGGACCTAAGGGGCAGGTGGAATGGGCAGAGGGAAGTCCTCTGGTGCACGCTTGGTAGACTCTGGGCTACAGGGGTACGTTCCTGCCACATCACCAAGGCCCATGACCACCGAGCTAGCAGAGTCTTCTAGAACTCCTTCAAGGACCCAGCCAGGTGGGTGTAGCCTGAGGAGCTCCTGCAGGGTGCACAGGGTAGACACCAGCCTTCCCTCACTCTGCCTACCTAGGTTGGCGTTTGAAACAGCGTACATGCTCAGTGCTGAACCTCCTTACTCTGCACCTTCATTTCCATTCACACAGGAGTCAATGAGCTGAGTTTTCATTTGGTGAAGGTTTTGGGAGGTGGGAAATGCCTACGAGGCATGTGGTGTGTGGATATCTTTGTAATGAGAAGCTATATTTTCCATCACCAAGAGATCCAGAATTCCTGTGCCTATCTCTCCATTCCCAACCCCCAGTTGTGTTTCAAGTGTTTAAAACCCCCAAGCTTAGAGCTAGATTCTGGAACCCTAAATACTTAGTGGAACCAATTCTAGCTTCTCTGTGATTCAGACACCTGCCCTCAAGGGGACATGCTAGTAGGGGGAGGTGACCATTTGAGTTTTTTTGTGTGTGGGCCTATTATAGACAATCCGTTCTCTGGTTTTATTTTGGGTTTTTGATAAGAAATACTTAGCAAACCTATGGAAGAGGAACAACATGATGTGTTCCCACTTTAGAACAAATGACAGGGGCATTGTCCCTGGGTAGTGCAGTTGAAGTGACCTGTGGGCAGGCTTGGGGGGGGGGCAGGCGCTCTCACAGAGGCATGCTGTCAGCAGCATGGTGGAGTGTTGTGAAAGGCCCCTGCATTTGATTCAGGAGACATCTAGAAAAGCATTCAGAACCCCAGGGCTCTTCTGTGTTTGGAGGTCCTGGGGCTTATTGACTGGGCCAGGGTCACCAATCATGAGAAAAGCCCACCCCTCCTGTGCATAACTGCTTCTGGTCTCCGCTGGCCTGTCGGCCACAGTTCATTTGACTCCCGACAGGAGCTTAAAGGCCAGTGCAGGAGTGGAGGTGCAACCCAGAGGTCAGGCACTTGCCTAGCATGTGCCAGGCACGGTTCCATCCCAACAGCGGAAGGAAAAAGCCAATGCAGGCCTGAGGCACTGTGGCCATGCAGCCGGACGAACACCTAGACTTCTGTGATGACTCAAATTCAGACGTCACTTCTGCTCTTCACTTTGAGCAGCTCCTTAAACTGTGCCTCAGCTTCCTTGTCTGTATGATAGAGAAAAAAGGTGAAGCCTTCCTGCTCCTCGGTGGTCTTGTGAAATCGCAGTGAGAGAGTCACAAGTGATTTAGGAAATTTAAAAGTAAAATACAAAGACCGTCCCCACAAACCCCACAGCTCTACTTGTGCATTCATTACGGGATTTCAAAAGGAAGGCACTCAAACAGCTTTTCAATAAATCTTTACCAGTTATGCGTTTCTTAGCAGCCTCATGTGTCTTTGATGTTTTTAATGAGTCGACCATAAACAAATAATTTTTTATGGTGGCTGGGCTGGTGTTATCTTTACTGAAGAGGTGATTCACTTATACTATGGTTTTGTGATTAGGTTTTATGGTTCCGAAGGAAGTTCAGTTTAATGTTTTATCTAAGCATCTTTAATAGAAGAAAGAGTGACGGTTGGCAGTGACAGTGCCTGTGGTTGGTGTCTGCCCTGCTGCCAGAGGTGCTCCTGCGAGAAAAGCGGGCTGTTAATAATGGATGCCCTGAGCCTCGTGCCCGTCTCCTGACTTTCCTGCTCTCTGGGTGCCACATAACACGTCTTGTGCTTCCTCTTCATCTTTCTAGAATGCCAGCAGTTACTCCGCAGCGATGACGGAGCCCAAGTCTGTGTGCGTCTCTGTAGACGAGGTGGTCTCCAGCAACGTGGACGACGCTGAGACCGACCTTCTGAACGGGCATCTGAAGAAGGTGGACAACAATCTCACCGAGGCCCAGCGCTTTTCCTCCCTGCCCCGGAGAGCAGCTGTGAACATCGAATTCAAAGACCTTTCCTACTCTGTTCCCGAAGGACCCTGGTGGAGGAAGAAAGGTAGGCAGAGAGGCCGATTTGGACACTGAACTGGAAAGAGACTGTGGATGGAAGCCACTGGTCATTTGGGGAAAACCTAGGTCTGGGAGTCAGGGGGCTGAGATTCCCTTCCAGTGCCTTCGCTGTCCAGGCTGATTTATTTAATTGCTTTATGCCAACTTCTTCTCAGCCGTGAAATGAGAAGTTTGGACTATGATCTGAAAGTTCACAGTGACTGTAAAGTTTTGTGGTGTTATTATAGGTTGAGTATCTCTTATTGGAAATGCCTGGGACCTGAAGTATTTCAGATTTTAGATTTGTTTTTGAGATTTTGGAATATTTGCTTATACATAATGAGATATCACAGGGATAGATATCTCATTATGTATAATGAGATACATAAACCTGACCTTTGTCCATTTCATATACACTTTATACAATATTATTAGTGCACCTACATTTTAACTGCAACATGTCACGTGAGGTCAGTTGTGGAATTTTCTACTTGTGGTGTCATGCCATTGCTCAAAAGGTTGAGACTTGGGAGCATTTTGGTTTCAGATTTTCAGACTGGGGATGCTCAGTCTGTTTAGAGAACTTGACGAGGTCGGCCAGTATCCGTGTGTGCTCATTTCTGGCAGGTGCTCCAGGCTATCTTTGGTGGACATTGTGTGTGTCAGTCTATGTCTGCCCTTCAGCTATGCAGAGTAAACCAGAAGGCAGGAGCCACCTCTCAGGTCTGAAGTGTCAGGAAGCCAGCGCTTGCCATGATCTCTCTGAGAACCCATCATCTGGAAGGGCTCTGAGATGGAGGTGCTGTTGGGCTACAGAAAAGCCAAATGTTGGAAAGTGGGCTGTGTAGATAAAAACAGAGGGAGTGGGGAGGAGGGAACCCAGGGGTCCCGTCAAGCCACTCTGTGCAGGATGTTGCCCCCAGTTTTTTGGGTGCTCAGGGGGTTATGACAAGCGTTTGAGTTTCTCAGCCACCTTTCCCAGCCCAACTTCCAGCATTCAGAGCATTGACACCTCCTGGGTTGGTACTTGTTTGTCCACCTGATCTGCCTCTTGTGGGCTTTATGTCCACACATTGTCCATCGGGGGACCCCTCCTTTGGTGGGAGTGGCTGGGGAGGAGGGTGCTGGTCTCTTGTTTCTACTGAAGCACTAGAAGCAACTTGGAAATCCGAGAGGAATTTGGATCAGAGAAAGTGATGCAGGCACCACCAGAATAATATAATTTTTAGGACTCATCGTTTCTTTCTTTTTGAAAAGGACCCATGCGGTTTTTCTGTTTTTCTTTTTATTTCTTCTTTTCCCTCATGTCTTTGTTTTGTTTCTCTACCCTCTTGAAACTGAGCCTTTAAGATCGCTGGTGTGGGCCACCTGGACTTGGTTGTAAACATAAGTTGGAACCTAAGCAAGCCTGCTTCCCAGGACCCAGGAGGCCAGTGGTTGTTGGGTGATTATGCCTGTGTTGGTACAACCAGGAGCAGATCCTGTGCCCTCTCAGGGGCCGACTGCATACCACGGTTAGCTGATACTTACATTTTTAGAGCATGCCAGCCTGTTTTGTTTAGAAAAAATTCTGTGCCAGGCTCAGGTTTGGGCCCATTCTTTTGAGTTTGTTGGAATTTCAACATAGGGGAGGTGTAGCTTTTTCTTTCTAACTTGAAGGTAGATTTTATAGAAACGTGTACCAAGAAACCACTGGGACAGGGTTGTTATGTTCAGCCTTGTTTGTTTGTGTGATTGTGGCCAATCTGTGAGGGGCACAGAGCGGTTTCCATCCCTCTGCTGTGTGTGTGGTCTTGAAGAGGCCATCTGAGGGTGGAGACGGGGTGGGGGTCCGTGAGAGGAAGATGGCTTGCGATGCAGACGTGCAGATGTGTGAATACTGACAGCATCTTGATGTGAAACCTGGCACATAAAGTCTGGCCACAGAGGTGCCCAGCTGTGGTTTGTGAGTATTGTCCACCTTGCCAGCTGTGTGGCTTGTCCACCCTGTGTTCTCTAAGAGTTCAAACTGTTTATATCCACCATCTGAGTCAGCCTGCAGGTGGTGGCTTCTTGGCAATGAAGGGACACAACTGTCCATTCTCAGTGGCCCTCAGGAAGCTCAGCCAGGAGCCACTGGGTAGTTGCTTGCCCTATAGTAACCTCCGTGGGCTCCTGCAGGGAGGAGGTGGAAATGGGTCTGCGGGACTTGCCCATGAGTCAGAGAGGCAAAGCCAGAGCGGGTGACAGATGTGATTGGCCTGGTGTGTCCCAGTTGCTGGTTGAGAAACCAGTGAGGTGTGATGTGCTGGCAGACTTCCTCCCCGGCTCGCTTCTTCCTCAGTGGCAGCTGCTGGGTGTGCTGGGTCTGTCCCTGTCCTCCCAGCCCCTTGGACCCAGTCCTTCCTTTGTTCCTGGAATCTACAAATCAGAGTCTAGATGGTTTACCACTCCAGCATGAGTTTAGGGTGGGAAAGAATCACCCATCTTCTTGTCACTCTGTGGAAGGGGCACAGCGGCTGGCAGTGGTTCAGGGCTTGTCTATGCTCCTGAGCTAGGCAGGGACAGGCCCGGGACTGAGCAGCAGTTTCTCATTCTGTGGCGGCATGCTGGCCGTGGCTTGCCCAGTTCGGGGGCTTCCAGAATGCTGGTTCATGCAGCCAGCAGGAAGCAGTGCCGTCCTGGAGGCTCAGGTGCCCTGGGAGTGTCCTGGAACCCCAGTGGTCCATTGGGCTGGAAGCCACAGCCAGGAAAGCCTGGGGTGTCCCCGCTGAAGGGAGACAGCTGCAGATGTCCTTTCCCTGCCTCCTGCCCCCCTCACAGTCTGCTCTTGAGTGCCATATCCTGGTAGCCCATTTCCCCAGCATGAACAATACAGCCTGCGTTAATCTGGCCAGGCCCAAGGATGCCCTGCAGGTGTCCTTCTGGGCACTGGTGTGTGCGGATTCCTCTCGTACCACTCCCACATGGCACCGCCCTCTCCTCTGCTCCTCAGTAAGCAGAGGCTGCCCCACCTGCGCAGGTGGGCACCTCCTTTTCCTGCTTTGTCCTCTGTTTCTAGTGAGCGTCTCCGGCCCCAGCAGTGACGGGGTCAGGCCGAGAGGCCCAGTCCTAGCCACTTCTCTGCATTTCTTTTTCCTCGTGGTGGCTGTCATCTCTGTGTGACTCCAAGGATGGCCTCCAGCATAGGAGTGACTTCTCTTACACTGTCACCCGATTAGCTGACGGTATTAGGTTGATTGTTTTCGGTTTTTAAAATTCGACTCCAAGCGTTGAGCTAACTGTGACGATCACTCTGGGGCTGGACATCCTGGCGTCACCTAAGGGACCACATGAGAGGCAGAGAAGTTTTGAGAGCTCAGGGTCCGACTGCCTCAGAGCTTGGGGAAGGAAACAGGAAGCCATGTGCTCTGCCCACGGTCAGAGCCCAAGCCGGGAGAAGTCGTTCCTTTCCACTTCCGAGACACTGGAGGATTCTGGGAAAGCCATTCCCTCAGTTTCTCCTGGGACACAGTGCTCCCAGACAGCTCAACACAGAATGCTGTACCAGCAAGCTGGGCCTGTGACCTTGGTGGCAGTGTGAACTCCAATGGTTACTGTAAAGCAAGCAGGGAAGAGAGAATTTCAGCATCCTTAGAAGAGAGGAGTCGAGTGGGCCTGTCGCAGTATTTTTAAGGAGATGTCAGGCCTGTGTTCTTTAACCACTGAGCAGGGCGATTGCCAAGCATTGAACTTGGCATTTCACAAAACATCTTGTATTTTCAATTGTAGTTACATTTTCACCATATGATTAATGATGTCTTTGGAGGGCAAAGTAGCTCATATAATAGATTCCTGGTAGAGAGCGTAATTGTGAGAGGAGCTATTCTCAGGAGGAAGAAGCACACCCCAAGGATAATTTCACCAGCTTCGGATACAGTAATTACTTTCCCTCAAGGAATTCGCTCACGTAGCTTGAGTGGATGGGACGGGTGGTTTGGAACACTGACGAACTTAGTGCCGTCACACAGACTGTTGTATCAGGGGATGGACCAGAGAGCTGGTGTTCAGATCACCCCTAGTGTGACTCTGGGAAGCAGCCTGAGCTTCCTATAAGATAGACACCTTTTGGTAGCACTTGGGACCCTTGTGAAGAAGAGAGTCCACATAGCCAAATTCAGAGGTGGAGATGAGAGTGAGGAGGTTTTTCACATAGGGGCTCATTCACAGTAGACATAATGGCCCCGTGGGCAGAAGGCAGGCTTGGGTGCTCTGTAGGCGTGCCCTCCCCCCAGTATCTCTGGACCCTTTCATGCACAGTCGACTGTCTTAGGGCATGGTCTCAGGCCACTTGGCTCACCGTGGATTCAGGAGGAATTCTGTCCATTCTACTTGTGAAAGACTGTGACATGACATCTGGAGATGTACCCAGGTCACCGCAGTAGGGAACGTGGGACTTGAAACCTGACCTGGGATTTCAGGGCAAGGTCAATTGTCCACAGGGAACCTTGGGAACACTTGGCTCTGAGGGGGACGCACCGTGCCCCACCTGCAGATGGCGCGGTTGGGGTCTGCCCTGTCTTCCTTTTCATCAGCCTGCTGGGATGCGGCTGCCCCTGGATGTGGGGAGGAATTCTTCCCCCTGTGCAGACACCCTGTTCTGTCCCCTCATCAGTGAGGGGAGCCTGTGAGCATGGGGAGAGGACCCCTGGAATGGCCCTGTGATGAAGTTCAGGTTGGGGACAACAGCATTCACACTTGGGGTTTTAGAGTGTTTTCTTCACTGTTCTCAGGTGGGCATTATCTCCCCTGGCCACACTCCATGGAGTACCACTGCCGCTTTAAAACTAACCCAGCCACATGCTTTCTAAAACCCAGGCAGGAGTTAAACATTCTGGGCAGCTCCATGTTAGATCATCCGTATTGGTCAGCTTCTAAGCTGCAAAAATGCTTTTGAACACCCTTCTTAAGGTGAAGTTTGCTTTCTCTTGATTTCCATAGCTATTTTCCAAGACTTGTCATTACAGGCTGGCAAAAATGAGGGATGAA